CTTTGGACAAATTGTTTCCATGTAGTTTTTCTTTTCTTCACTCTTCTTTGCTCTGGAAAGGGAGCAATCAAAAATTACATCTTACATGGCTGCTCATAAGCTTTTAAGATGTCAGTTGCTACTTTCAAAGTAGGATGTAAAACAATGTCTTTGTGGACTATGTTATACCAATAGACTTTAATGCTCCTGGAGACTATGGTCCTGAGCCCCTAGGCACAGCTACTTATTCTCCTAAGAGGTTTGGTTATGGCTAAGATGTTTTAATAACTTTGCTTCCTCTATGTACTACCATATTCAAGGATATATTTGCAGAAATTATAGATACATATGTAGAAATACCCTTTGTTAAACCTACATTTAATCATGAGGGTAGTCCCCTTCATCTTCCCAGACCTGTTTGTGTGTTTATCAATGTATCTGCTTGTAGATTATTGTTATTAGTGTTATTGCATGATTGGGTATGTAATAGTATTTACCTTTGTTGCTTTTAACTCTTATACTCCTCCCTGTGTCTTCCAGTGTCTTGGCCACTTTTCGCCAACCTCCTCATCATTGTATATTGCCTTTCCCTTCACCCAGGTTAATACGTGTCTACCCTCTAGTTAGTGATTTACCCTCTCTTGCCCTCCCACTCCCAGTAACCTTCAAAGAATGTTTCTTTCTGCATGTAAACCTTTTCTTGATTTTTTACAATAGTGGTCTCATACAATATTTGTGCTTTTGTGATCAACTAATTTCACTCAACATAATGTCTTCTAGCTTCATCCAAGTTATGACATGTTTCCCAGATTCATCATTTTTTAATATTATATAGTACTCCATAGTGTATATGTACCTTAGTTTGTTATCCATTCAACCATTGATGGACAGATAAGTTGTTTCCATCTTTTTGTTTTCGTGAATAATGCTACAATGAACATGAGTGTACAATGAACATCTATTTGTGTCACAGCTCTTCTTCCTCTAGCATATGTACCTTGTAGTGGGATTTAAGGTCATATGGTATTTCTTATTTCCAATTTTTTAAGGAAGTGCCGTTTCATTTTCCATAGTGGTTTTACCATTTTACAGTCCCACTAGCAGTGTATGAGGGTTTCAGTCTCTCCACACCCTTGCCAGCCAGTTGTTTTCTGTTTTTTTTAAACGTTGCTATTAATGCTGAGTTGAGATGATATCTCATTAATGTTTTGATTTGCATCTCTCTAATGGCTAACAATCATGAGCATTTCTTTACATATTTATTGGCCTCCTGAATGTCTTCTTTATGAGCAGAGGACCACTCTTTGAGGTACCTTTTCCATAAGCAAATGCCAGTAGTCACACGATAGACTAAGTAAAATGAAGATCATTGTTTTACCCTTGTATCCTTTGCAAAAGCAAGATTTTCTGAATTACTGCCAAGACCCTCTGTGAAGAGAAGAAAATACCCAGATGCTGAGGGAAGAGAGAGAGACCAGTAGTAGGAACCATGCACTTTTCCATTTGATTCCCTTTCCAGGCTTATTACATCTAAAGTTAGAATAGTCACTAAATTTTGCCAGGTAATGGAGCTGTTCTCTTCAGAATGCAGTATGCCTATGAATAAATGGTGACGATGATGTGGACACAAAATCAAATGGTATATCACTAGTTTTAAGTGATGCTATGAGTTTTCTTTTACATTTTTACTAACCCAACAGAGAATAATGGATTTTTACTCAACTGTCTTAATCAAACAGTCCCTTAAGAAATAAAAAATAAATAAAAATAACAACTCTGTTTTTTATCTCCTTATTTTCCTCAACCTTGGGCTACTACTAAGTCCCTTTTGTAGATTTTATATCTAGCTATATATTCTTGATAGCTTGGAATACATACCTAGGAATTATGGAAACAGCACTTAATCTAGAATCAGAACATACTAGTTTGAATCCCAGCTCTGCCTCTTGCTAAGGGGGTGAATTTGGGCAAGTAACACAACCTTTCTGAACCTCCTGGTGTTTTTTGCAATATAAATTCAATACAGTAAAATAATTTACATGGAAATCATTTATAAATTAAAGTTTCCATAAATGTGTTATATGAATATTCACTGTTGTCATTATTTTATTTCTATAATCTACATATTTATTCCTCTGAACAACTACTATATGTGTTTTAAAAAAAAAAAGTCTCACTGCAATCAAGTCAGTTCAACTCATAGTGACCCCTCCTTGGGTTTCCAAGGTGGTATCACTATGGAAGTAGATTGCCCAATCTTTCTTCTGAGGAGTGGCTGGTGGGTTTGAACCACCAGTCTTCTGGTTGGCAGTCAAGTACCTTAGGCACTATGCCACCAGAACTCCCACTATAATATAAAGCATTGGGTTAAACTCCTTAAGTCCTTGCTGGAATGTGATATGTTGTGGGCTCTGTTGCCCTCAAAGATTCTGCAGGTCAGAGAGATAAATTACAGACACAAACAATTATGACAACAAGGGAAAGAATGAGAAGTGTCATGAAAGACAGACTTTCTGCCCTAGGCTCTCAAGGAAAAGCAAAACAGAAAAGGCCACTTGATTAATACCTACTTATGAAGAGTTTCGTTCTGCTGTGCATGGGGTCGCTATGAGTCGGAAACGACTCGACGGCACTTAACAACATAACAACATGAAGAGTCCCCACCATAGTCCTTCTTTCTCCATGGAGGAGCAAGAGCTGCTTAGGAAGTCTCCCCACCCATGCATATTCTCAACTTTACTTTCTTTAGCTAAGAGCCTTCTTAAAAAGACTAGGCCAGATCTGTTGAGCTCTGAGCCAGTGAGGCCCAGCTCGTGTGCAGGTGGGAGGGTAGGAGGAAACAAGCCTGCAGTTCATGGGGAGAGCAGGGAAGCCAGCTGGTGAGATTGGAAGCCAGAAACTTCCCAGTACACAGAGGACTTAGCTGGAATCTGATGGTCTATCACTCTGGAAATCAAGCTACGTGGTCATTCTGAGGACCAGATAAAGGTGACTGGCTGCATGCTCATAGACTCATTCTACACTGATTTTAATGGAGCTAAGCAAGGAGCTCTGGAGGCACAGTGTTTAGCACTGGGCTGTTAACCAAAAGGTTGGTAATTTGAACCCACTAATGGCTTCACGGGAGACAAAATCTGGTGATCTGCTCTTGTAAACGTTGTTGTTTGCCAGTGAGTCAAGAGTTGATTCCAACTCATGGTGACCCTGTAGGACCGAGTGAAACTGCTCCATGGGGTTCCCAAGGCTGTAATGTAATCTTTACATCTTTTTCTTGCAGAGCAGGTGGTACATTTGAACTGCTAACCTTTCAGTCAGCAACCAAGCACTTAACTAGTGTACCATCACTGATCCTTCCATAAAAATTACAGCCTAGGAAACCCTGTGGGACAGTTGTGCTCTGTCCTGTAGGGTCACTATGAGTCAATATCAACTCACACCTAACAACAAAAACAAGCAAAAATAAACTGTGGTGACAGTGTCAGGAGCTCTGGCAGTGTAGTGCCTAAGGCATTTGACTGCTAACCAGAAGGTTGGCAGTTCAAATTCACCAGCCACTCCTCAGAAGGAAGGTTGGGCAATCTACTTCCATAGTGATACTGCCTCGGAAACCCAAGGAGGGGTCGCTATGAGTTGGATCCAACTCCATGGACAGTGAGTTTGGTTTGCTTTGGTTGGCAATGTCCAGGAGCTATCTGGAAATGACTAATTCCAACTAGTTGATCGGGCTCCCTTTAGGTCAGTGCAGAGATGGGCGCTCTGTCATTTAATGTTTTGGAAACGAGGGCAGAACTAGTGGTGCACCCACCCCATCAGCCTCGATATTGCATTAAATATGTGTATATATCTATTGAACACATAGATATGCAGCCTGTTCTAGAGGAGAAACACAAAACACAAAACAGTTTCTAGACAAAACAGTCTATTCTAGACCAGGAGGATACAAATTGAGTAAAAGACACAGAACAGTTCTACAGAGCTCACATAGAGAAAGAGGACAGTTACGGGTCTAACACACCACAATGCAGGGCTCACTGTACTAGGAACTCTAAGGAAATAGAGGACAAGTGGAATGGGGCCCAGGAGGCTTGGGGGTATGGCAAAACTAAGTAGAAGGGGCAACATTTCAAGTTGGCCTTGAAGAAGGATTTTGACAGACTTGGGAAGATGAGAAGGGATTCCAAGCAGAGAAGCAGCTGGACGGATTTTCCAAAGCCCTCACTGCATTTTCAGAAACAATGGGAAGTAAGCTGTGGTTGGAACATGCTGTAAGTAGAGAGTAGATAGGGATAGTGGGAGATAAGCTTTGAAAAGAAAGGTTGGGTTCAGACTGTGAAAGACTTTGAAGGCACTGATAAATGTTTGTACTATATTCAGCAGGTGGTAGAGGAGGCTGAGGAAGAGGGAGGGCAATAGAGTGGGAAGAACATGACATTGAGACATTGGAGAGTCATGGTTCCTCTTGTTAGCTATGTGTCCTTGCCTTCTCAAAGGGCCACTTAACCCCTCTCATATTCAGTTTTCTGGAGCAAAAGATGGAGATGTTGATAATAATTTTCATGCCTCAGTAGCAGTGGGTTTGGTTTTGGTTTTTGGTTTTATATGCCACAGGACTATTGTGTTCCTCTGGTCATGGCCTGTCTAAATTGTGCTTCTTTTTCAAGGTCTGGCTCAAAATATTACCTCCTTTAAAACTTTCCTGGAGTCCTCTAGAGTTCAGCTGAAAAATCCAGACGTGGTGAAATGTATATAACAAAAACATTTGCCATTTCAACCATCTTTACATGCATAATTCAATGACTTTAATTACATGTTGTACAACTATCATCTAACCCATTTCCAAATTTTTCATCACCCTTAACAGAAACTCAGTGCCTCTTAAGCAGTTCTCTGTGTGACGTTTTAAGGAGATCATAGTTGCAGCTTGGGACAAAGGAAAAGGGAAATGGAGCATACAAAAAAGTACCTGTGCAAACTCTCTGGCATTTGTCAAACCCAGTGAATCTTACCCGTCTTGTCCACAGGGAATTTGCCAAAGAGAGAGAGAGGGTGGAGAACCGAAGAGCTTTCATGAAGCTTCGGCGCCAGCAGCAGATTGAGCGGGAGTTGAATGGTTACCGTGCCTGGATAGACAAAGCAGGTAAGGCTTGGTGGGCTAGACGAAGTTGGTGGATGGTCTGCACTGGCACCAGGGAACCCACCTCACTCTCCATACCACCACTCCAAGTTTCACCTAGACTCAAGAAGAGAAAAGCTCTGGATGCCTTGTCAGGCCTTTGGGTGCCCTGCTAGTCCCACTTTCTCCCTCTAGTGTCTAACTATCCCCATTCATCTTCCAAACACCTGTCATATGGCAGGCATCTTAGCAAAGTGAACTTAGCTAGCTAGCATAATCCAATTTTAGAGCTGAAGTTGGGTTGGTGACAACATTTTACAAACAATAATCTATTCAAGTTCATGTTTTTTCAATAGGTAAATGGAATTTCATTTATCACTGATGTTTCAGCAAAAGCCAGGACAAAGAGCCCTGGACTGAAGATTCTACTACCAATTAGTCCAAGAAGTGCTGTAGTTCTAGACACATCCTATTTCCTACTCCTTTAAAGCAAAGATGTCATATTGAAGACTGAAATGCGCCTGACCCAAGCTATGGTATTTTCAGTTACCTCATAGTATATGAAAACTGGACAATGAATAAAAGGAAGACCAAAGAAGAATTGATGCCATTGAATTATAGTATTGGTGAAGAATATTAAATATACTATGGACTTCTTGAAGAATAAACAAAGCTGTTTTAGAAGTACAGCTAGAGTGATCCTTAGAAGCAAGGATGGTGAGATTTTGTCTCATGTACTTTGTTGTTGTTCTTAAGTGCCATCCAGTCATCTCCAACTCATAGTGACCCTATCCACAGCAGAACGAAACACTGCCCAGTCTTGAGCCAGCTCCACAATACTTGCTACACTTGAGCCCATCGCCACTGCCACCATGTCAATCCACCTCATTGAGGGCCTTCCCCTCTTTTGTCAACCCTCCACCTTACTAAGCATGACATCCTTCTCCAGAGAATGGTCCCTTCTGACAACATGACCAAAGTATGTGAGACAAAGTCTGGCCATTCTCGCCTCCAAGGAGCATTCTGGCTGCACTTCCTCCAGGACA